AGTTCTAGAAATGTGGTTTCCCTATAAATCAAAAGAAGACTGTACTTGGTTGGGCAAGAACTCCACCGTGACCAGTTCACCACTGCGGAAACATGTGACCTGGGTGGCCACTCGGGGTGCCCGAGCTGCCAGCACCGCCCTCCCACACCCTGCAGCTGGCACCCCACCTTGTCCCCTCACAGAGACACAGCGTCTGTCAGTGTCCCAAGCCATGGTACCCAGAGCTGACACACTGACCCACTATCAGAAGCCATCTCCTTTTATTTTTCTACTACTTGGCAGTCGACATTTTTACATTTCTGTGTGTGTGTGTGTGTGTGTGTGTGTGTGTGTGTTATTTGTGAATGTTTTTTCATAATGGCTTTAGTGGCATTTTAAAATATTTGTTCTACAAAAACTGGGGTGGGGGTGGGTGTTGGGACTGGCTTTGATGTGGCTGAGGCCCCGTGTTCTGGTTCAGGAGACACAGCCCCGTCAGAGCACAGGACGACACCCATCTGCCTCTCTGGAGTTAATATAAGCAGGATCTTGCAAGAATTCACATTCTCACGGTGGAGATCTGGCAGCTCCCCTGAAGTATGTGGTAGAAAACAAGAGCACCTCCGACTCTTGTCAATGCTGAGCCCCCCACCCACTCACCCACACTTCCTACACCCACTACACACACATACCAACACACACGTAAACCAATCGAATTCATGGCCCCTGGCATACACTCAGACACAGATGAGGTGAACCAAAGAACATATTTTCAGTCATGGGAATCACTGTATCCTGTCAAAAGAGATTAGAACTTGCCTGGGAAGGGCACGGTGTGTCAATTGCAATTACGCAGAGATCCTCTCTCTATTGTGAGCACCCCCCTTCCCATCTCAACACTGGAACATGATTAATATTTTACATACCGTYCAAGAGGGGAGTGTGACTTACCAGAAACCGTACTGAACATTTCAAATACAGATCATCCCTTTGCCAAGAGAAAATCCTGCCCAGCTGTAGTTTTCTCATTTGCAAAACACAAGAGCAATGACATTCCATTACTCAGAGAGACCGGCTGTTCCAGCAGACCCTTGGCAACAGAGGTTGCACTTATCTTTCTGAACCAGAGTCTCAGAAAATGCGTTCGCTCTCTGAAAGAGTCATTTGATGCATCTGAGTTCTTTAGAAACGGGCTCTTGCCCAAGCAAATTCCTGTTAGGGAAAATCCATTCCCCTGACCTGGGAAGGACAAAGAGTAACCCTCAAACTCGAGGCAAGAACAGTTCCAAGTTTAAGGACCCCAGTGACAGTCAAMGGGCATGCAACAATATTCCCACTGTCCTTAAGACAAAATCAAGTACCCTTTGAATACCTAAGGGACAGCCTGCAGCCACCCGCTGGCAGGAGAGACCCTTGAGCCTCCATCATCCAGGTCCCTTTCCCTGTGTGGTGCTGAAGATATGAATCACCTCCACTCCCTGCACTGCACTTGGCAGAACGGRTCCAGAGTGTTCCGTCTTCTGGAAGTTCCTTTCCCCAGAGAAGCTCATGGCCACACGCCAGGCTGACGCAACCCCACTTATGGCTTAGCTCATGGTCAAGCTCCCACTCGGTCCAACCCCACATTTTGGAAGGAGCCACAAAAGCACTGAGGAAATGCAGACACTCCACAAACGTGTCTGGAACAACAGACGCCCACMGTCTCGGGGCTGTTCTCCTGGTTTCCTGTCTGATGCACTGTATCACGACCACGGCCCGTGGGCGAGTTTCTTGTGGGATCCAGGGTATCATCTTGGACACTCTTATTTGCTCTCTCCCTAATAGAAGGCCCAACATATTTAGCCGTGGGTGTACCCATTAAAAGAGAAATCAAAATGAAGCCAAACAACAACAASAAACAGCAAAAAAAATGTAGCCACGTACATCAAGTTTTGCAAATGGAGCCCAAAAGATGCAACGAGGGATGTTCTTCCTTCAGCAACCCAGAGCACCCCTGGGACATTGCCCACATCTATTCCAAAGGATGGCATGGGAGGGCCCAGAGAGCCACCTCCCCCAGCGCAGACCCAAGCCTGTGTGCCAAAGTCTGAAGTGCAAATGAAGGGAAACCTGGCGAGGATGGGAGGGGACCCTACCCTCACCACTCACCCCTGGGTGACCAGTGACAACAGGCAAACGGCAGAGAGGACAGCAACGAGGGTGCAAAAGCCACAGTACCCTGTGGGCTCCAGCTCCAGAGYCGACACCATCACATCCCAGTGACCAATCTGAGCTCGGCCACAAGGGTGGGTACAGCGGGGACCACCCATCCGGTCCCAACCAACATCCAGCYCTCCAACAGTTCTGCACAGAGCCCAAACAGAGCATACGAATCAGATGCAGGCRTGCAGGGAAGGAGCGGGCCATGAACACACACTCACCATCTGCTTCTCTATATGCAACAACTTCACACCACAGCACTCAACGMGCCCCCTGCTCCGGCGCAACCCTCAGAGAAGCACACCTCCTGCCCAGGCGTCCGGCAGGCCTGAGGCCTCCCTCCCCGACCAAGCATTGCGCTGCGAGCCAGAATCAAAAGGCAAGGACGTTCGGCCTGTTCAAAGACGCTGGCCAGCATCACTTACCTCGATAATCCTGTCGTGAATCTGCAGGCCTCCTTCCTTGGCCGCCGGCCCGCTCTCCACTATTCTGGACACAAAGATTCCCTCGCTGGATGAGCCATCTTGATTGTCCTTTGGGTTAAGAAARCAAAGACGTGAATATGAGGATGGAGGGTAAAAAAACCGCACACYCCTCGCTCATCAAAGTGGCAATCGGGTAAAAGCTGCTGGTTTCCCCTAATTGGTCTTAGACTAAAATATGCCCACACCCACGGTGAGCCATCTCAAGTACAGCAAAAATCCCGCCACTTCCAAACCAAAATCCTACTTCCCCATGGAGMGTCTTCTTCGTTTTATGCATGTTTTCCAAAATATTTTAATGYACCACCTTCTTAAATACTTGTTTGTCATGCATGCAACTGGGATTATGCAATTTCAATTTTTATGCCCTTCTCTCACTTAATTCTAGAATCTTGGAGCTCTTCCACCATCAATCACACGACCATGTCCGCCCTATTTTTTTCTTTTTTTTTTTTTTTTGGTGGCACCGGAATTGAGTTGAGCTACACACACAGCCCCATCCCCACTCTGCTCTTTGAAGCAGCTGCAAGGTGCCCCAGAATCCWGAGCGATCCAGTTGTTAGGAGCGACAGTAAGAGTGCCAACCTAGATTCTAAAATCTAGTGCCAAACATCATTGCTAGTACAAACCGAGCAATGAAAATTGTTGGCTGAATGYGTGCAGTTGAGTGACATGGCTGAGCTGCCCTCCAGAGAGTGGTACTTTAAAAGGAGGCATAAGTTATTACTATTTTTCCACATCCTCACCAGTACCGAGTATCCCTGAGCTTGTCGAGATCTAATAACCTATTTGAGAAGACAGGTATCYGAGCTTCATTCTGATGTGCACCATGCCGCCCAATCCTGGGCGGTTCTCAGCTGCAGCTTCCTYGAATCCCTTTAGACCTTTGAGTGAAACCTCAGTACTGGAGCCTTCTGGGAAAGATGACACTGCTCAGATCCCCCTTCTGCTTACAGTCGAGTGGCTCCAACATGCTTTTAAAACCCTCCCAACTCGTTCTCCAACCCCCTTCCAAACAGCACGGCAATGAATTCCCTCCAAGTGTGTGGATTACATTTCTAGTGATTAACAGATGGATTTATCAATTAAATGGTAGAAGCATGTATCGTTTCCAAACGAGATCATTTGAAAAGCAAGCTCAGGATGCTCTGCAGAAACTCCAACGTCTCTCATCACCGCACRTTCCTTCCCACAACAGCATAAGAAGATCTATTTTATAATACTAACTCTGCATATAAATATATAAAAATGCCATGGTCCAAAAAATAACGATGAAAATACAACATTTTCCTTTTTAAACGTGAAAAAAAAAACTATATTCTAAAGAGGGGAAGAGATGATTATGTGGTTAAATCTACCCTTCAAATCCATCAGCAATAACCAAGGCTGGAAAAATACCTTCCTCAGTGCCCCCAAGCCCCCAACAACTCATGCACACAAGTATATGTGTTTTTTCTCTCTCTCTCAAATGTTATGATTCATCAGAAGAAACCCAAATCGCAACCTAAAATGAGCATTAAGTGCTCTTCCCAACATTCATCCCACATGACAAAGATACATTTCTAACTGCCATCTGGATTCCATCAACATTCTTTCAAGAGAAGGGCCACGGGATTACTGTGGGTGCTGTGTTGGATCAGCTATCCTGGAAGGCATTCTTCAAGCTGCACAGCGCTCTGCACGGCCCCGAGTGCTAACCCTCTACCATCTGAGTATCTACTGCCTCTCCCTCCCATGGCAGCCTAACTACTGCACTGGTCCCAACGCATCTGGGTTGCCCCTATATGCACATCTCAAATGKGAGACAGAGCTGCACAGCAACTTCTATTTACTGAGACACACTTGGCACCAGATATGTAGTGAGCCCTCTATGGGTGTCATTTAGTCTTCCCAATAACCACAGGCAGTAAATACCAGTACATCCACTCCACAGTTGAAAAACTCGAGACTCAGAGAGGCCAAGTTACTTATCCAAGGACACACAACTACAGAACAGCATAGCTTGGTTTCATACTGAGGCTAGAATAATTCTCTTGCACATGCCAGACTGAGAAAACTCAACATACACAGGCTTCAGAAKTCCAACACTGCAGCGTGTGCAATATCCCCATACAGGAACCTGAACAGCCTATTGGACCACCAAGGATTTACGAAGATGGCTGTGTTCCCTAAAAGCTGATGTCGATATATCATATGAAAAGGAATCTYTTGTTTCCTTTGATGGAACCACTTTACATTTCTTGGCTGGAGAAGAACAGCAGACAGGGGAATGAAAATTTGGCTTTGGTGTGTTTTACAAAATGCCACGCTGCACACAATTATTCTAAGAGAGACTAGAAAGATCCAACCAAAATCAGAGAGTTGGAGCAAGCAAAACCAAGCACCAGAACCGAGGCTCCACAAAGCCCGCGGGGGAGGGGGGGAGCTGCTGAGGACTAGATACAAAAGGCACAGAATCRAAGAAAACCTGATCAGGTCCATTTTTGATAGATTTTTCTCTTCAAAGGACATGCCTTTATTTTTAGTTTGTTTGGCTCCTTGCCTAACACATTTTAAGTCAGAGCTATTTATCAAGTTGAACTAACAGGACTGGGGATCTGTTTTGCTGGCCTGGGTAAAAGAAAGATGAATGGGACTTCTCTCACCCCAGGTACTGGACATAGAACACCTGCCCAAGGCTTGTGCGAGGGGTCGATCCCCCAGGCTGCTGTCACTGTGTGGGGCTGAGAGAGTCTAGGACTAGCACCCTGCAGGAGTGCTTGGGTCACCTCTGTGTCTGAACTGCCCCCTGCTTCCGTTCCCAGCCACACGTGTGCATCATGGCTCATCTTGGCTCCTTACTAGGCACCCAACGGCCTGCTAGATTCTCCAGGCCCCAGCGTGGAATACATTTAGAGTTCAGTATGCTGTTTCTGTGAATCAGGACAAGCTCTTAAAACCATCACAGCAAACTCTCCTCTGGAGGGTAGACACGGAGTTCTTGCATAAGTGGAGTACATAAGTGGAGAACATTCAGGCAATCTATGAAATCAGGACTGGCTTATCCTTATGTCACCTTTTTATAGGAAAAAGAAAAGAATGCGAAATACGCCCTTTGTTAGGCACAAAGAAGAAAAGTATTCTTGGTGAAAAGGGGCTTGTCACTGGACCAGGCTCAGAAACCAGCCACCCTGCTGGGTGACATCAGTAAGCCCATCAGGTTTCTCAACAGCAGCTAACCCTGGACAGTCTGACCTCTGCGAYCTGCGGACACCGCTCTGATGTGGCTAGAACTGAGGCAGAAAATGGTCCTCCTCATTTGGGCTCTTTTAGCTGCAAAAGACTTACACATCTAACAAGTGAAGTGACTCAGTTTATTGACATTGTCTCTTAAAACTGGTAAGATGGACGCACAAAGGAAGGAGGACAAAGTGTGGCAAAGGTGATTTTGGAAGAGTCGACTGTGGTCCCTGCTGGGTGGCCTGCAAGCTTTCTGTCACCTGAAGAATGTGGATCCAAAACCCCTGTCTGGATTCCTGGGGCCACCTGCTTGGACACAGGGACCCAGTGTGCTTCTTGGCCTYCCAAAGCTCGGGAGGGCTGATCCCTGGCTACAAGGACTAGACCAGACTGCACAAGGACACGCAGCCTGGAGKTTAGCCAATTGTAAAGAGTCAAAAGAAGAATATGCCAAGCTGCATGATTCTACGGTTTCTTTTTTTTCTTCTTCTTTTTTGGGGGGAGGGGGATTGAGTTCAGGGGCACTCGACCACTGAGTCACATCCCCAGACCTATTTCCTGTTTTATTTAGAGACAGGGTCTCACCGAGTTGCTTAGGGCCTTGCTTTTGCTGAGGCTGGCTTTGAACTCATGATCCTCCTGCCTCAGCCTCCSGAGCTGTTGGGATGACACCGTACCTGGTACTCTGCAGTTTCTTAAGAGTACCACAGAGATAAGAGGGGAACACAGAACCTGTCTGCATATCCCTGGGGTTTGGCAAGGGGAAGGCCCTCTGCTCCTGCTCACCTTCCTACCTCTAAYGCACCCTCAGTACTAACGCTGTGTCTACGACAGCTAATGTTCRTCATTTTAATGAGCACATCACTTCCAACTAAACTGCCATTTTTTAATAATAAAACCTTTTTTGTCTTTTGAAACTATAGCTTTGGCCAAAAGCTAAGTCTAYTTAAGCATAAATCTCTTCATGTCACTCCCTGGATTGCGACTGCAGTTTGGACTGTTTGGACACCCGCTGACTTAGCCAATTCAAGCCCCAGACCACGGGACTTACCAGGCCTTTGGAGATCAGGCCAGTTTCCTTCTCCAGGCCTCTTTCTGACGCTTCCCTGCCCAGCCTCACCCACTCCCCCCAACTCCCAGTACTCTCCCTGCTCTGGACCTCACGTGAGGTGCCAAGCCCCCACAGCAAGGCCGTTCGCCATTTTCAAGTTCAGTGGTCTTCAAAAATGGGTAGGTGAGCCACTCATGGAGGCACACCCCAGCAAGCCCAGGGGCTCAGGAGGCTGGGAAGGCGAATCACGAGTTCAAAGCCGGCYTCAGCAATTTAGTGAGGCTCTAAGCAACTCAGTGAGACCCTGTCCCTAAATAAAAAAATGAAAAGGGATGGGGATGTGGCTTCAGAGTCACATTTGAYCTTGCTGTTTAGAATCCTCCCTTGTGCCTGCAATCCGTAGAGGAACCTAACACACTGGTTCAATAGTATAGATACATTTTCTAGCTAACTCAATATAATTGATTTATTTTATAGTTCACAGGGCTCAACTGTACCAAAGAATATGGTCCTCTGAGCCAGTGAACTCCTACGCATCCTTCAAAACTCAGCTGCAATGGATCCTCCCCAGGACACCTCCTTCTCTGGGGATAAGTGGCCCCCGGTTTGCCGAGTTAATTCCAGCACAGATCCTACAGCAAGGACAGGGAAGTCTTCTGCCCCACCGAGGATGTGAGTCCCCATCTAGATGAGAGTTCTGTGAGAGCAGGGACCGCTCCCCATGGCCACAAGGCTGGCATCTTCTCATCCTTTAGGTTTCTGCCCACGATCTTTCCTAACC